GTGTAGGCACCTCGGAATGATTGTGTTAAGCTAGCACTAAGTCCCTCCCCCATCCACCTTTATTCTTTTCTTTACAATAAGGCTTTCAAATAAGTCGTGGTTGTACGGCAGTGAAGCATTGGTGTTGAGCACTGATGTCATGCTGTGGTTGATGATGATGATGATGTTTACCAAGCTCTTCTGATGACTTCTCAATCGGTTCCTAACCTTCTCCAATTAATTGAACTCACTTCAATTATGAGAATGTGCTCACTCGGTCCTAATGCCAAGCGGTCTATTGCGTACTCTTTTGTAGTTATTTTTTTTCTGAATGCATGTAATGTTCCTGCTGCGCTTCCCAAATGTCGCATAATTATCTTTTGTCCGCCAGAAGTGTGGGCTCATAAAGAACATAAATTGTGTACTGACCAGTATTAGCCCCCTAATATCCGCCGATGTTATTTCTATAGATCATTTTTGTGTGGTCAAAATAGCATTTTTCACCCAAACATTTCGCGTTTGTGGCACCATCACTGGTATAACGAATGATGACACTCAGTTTTTCGATTTCGATCACCGACAGAATCTTGAGGATCGTTAGTCCTGTTTTCTAGATTTCAGAACGTGTTTTTTTATATCGAGACTGTGCATAATGGATTGTGTGTGCTGCAAAATATCTCTACAACGCCGTATTTTTCCAGCACAGTATCACTGGTAGCAGCACACCGGTATGAAATACTAATACCCAACTGCCATATCATCTAGCACACAGACCACTGAACCTTGGTTTTCATGTGATTTGTGTGAACCACCTGCTTTGTTGTTTCTGAAACCGGAACTATGCGAAATTACGGAATTAATTGAATGCTGATCCATAATAGTCCAACTTACTTCCATCTCACTAGAAAACTAGTAGGGTTGTAGTGGTTAGGAAGTGAGATATTAACCAGTTCATGGTCGAAAAGACCGAACAGGCAGCCAAACAATATGATACGATCAATTCATTAGTATTTATTTATGTAACTGGTTCGGAAGCAACTCTCATTTGTTTGTAATTAAATAAGCGTGGCGATTTGGTATTTGTTTTATGAAACGACTGTTATATTTTAGTCTGCAATAAGTGCTGGTTTGTCAGCTGACCACACAAGGCCGATGTTATCGATCGTCCTGGTGGTTGTCTCTGCGAAGTGGATGGATTGTTTCAACTCTAATTGCGTGATTCGCAAAACCCCACTGATTATGAGAATATGGAGGAGTTCGTTCGCGCACAAACTCGCATTCATTCTGGAACAAACTCCATCTCTTGCAGCGCACCGTCGTTGCTGTGCATGTCCTGTACTGGTGACTGTAGTTATGTGCTCATACAACAACATGCTTTTCGGATTGTACATACAAAACGATTGATGTTTCGCTAGGCAAGTATACTGATACTCCGAGCACACCTTTGGTTATTGTTTGGCCGTATACTGCGATGTAGTTTCCTTCGATGCGATCCAAAGTTACTCTGTTTTTCAACCATTTTTAATGCACGTCTGGCACGTCGAGGACCAGATACTAGGGGCTTGGTGCGCTATTCTCTAGATCGTGTTCATTTGGACGTTTCAAACCATATCTTTTCCAGTGTCGCTGATTTTCCATCTTTCCAACGGCATTTATGTGGTGGTGCTGAGCATCACCAGCGCGGCTTGACTTCATCCTTACCATCGTCAGTTTCTGGCCGTGTACGTGGTGTGCAGTGGTTCTCGAAGAATTATTGTTTCCTCTTTTACCTCAGGTCTCGCAGGATGCGGCATGATGCTAGTGCAAGATCGTAATACCCAAAAATCCCATCTCTACGACTTTATGTGTTCGGCCCCTTCAAATCCATCGGATGTTGATGCTACGAAGCCTGCAAGCCTGGTGGGTGTGCCTGGTTTCGTACGAGGGCTATATACTGTCCACCGGCACTTTGGTCAGCGACGTTGGTCAGATTTGTTCGCTGGCGTGCTCAATTTGGCTGCTGCGGGTTTTCGCGTGAGTTGCCTTGAAGAATTTCAAGGATCCCACTCTATCCCAACATAAGTTTTCGATTCACACAGACTTCCCCAGAAGTGCAACCGATGTGCACTTTTTCCGAATAGCTTTTACCTATGAAGTCTTCCACACTATCCTTTATCGCGTCGGTTTCATACGCGCCATTCGAAAGCATTCTTTTTGTGAGCAAGCCATCATCTGGGTTTTTCAGGGTTTCTCATATTTGGCTAATCTCGTTTTCACAAATATGATTCCCTTTCTACTCATTTTGTGCTGACCACGCCGTTACCCCTTATCGACGTAGGTAAAGCTGTTTAACCCGTAGATTAGTGTTGCATCGTTGTCTCTTTGCATGAAGTTTTGCAACATTCTTTGTTTCAGCCGGATCCGGACCTGTTATCTGCGGCCAAAGCGACTGCTGCTGAACACCCCGGCACATCAGGAATGATTTTCAATGACTTGGCGAAGTTTTCCGGCGAGAGTTACCACCCTCCAGATGCTCTAAAAGCCACGTTAGAGAACCTGAAGAATAGTGGTGAACACTACTTCTACGATGCACACTCTGAACCTGCTTCGTTTAGCAGCCAGCTCTTGTCGTTTCTTAACTCCCAGGGTGTGCACTGGCAAGCTCGGGATATGTCGGATTATACTGTTGAGAAACCAAAACCGATTCTGGTGAGCAGGTTTGTCCGTCAGTACATTTGTCTGTGATTCGGGAGTTTGCGCCAACTTTGAATCTAACTTGCGGATTCCTATGATTTGCGTTCAGTCGAGTCTGTTGGACTTCTGATTAATCATATCCTGTCTCCAACAACGTTGAGGTATGTTTCGGTATTTATCCGACCTGTAGCTGTAGGTAGCTTCGGAGAACAGACATTCTAGTCTGTGAATTGGTTAACTCGCTTTTGGAGTACACACGAATGTTGTTGGTTTGCTTCAGTGCTACAGCAGCCCTTCACATCTTGCATTATGCTCTATCCCCCTACCCGATTTCTGATTGGTACCTATATATATCGGGTGACCTTGGGGAGCGATAACTCAGTTAGCGCACACAAAGTATAGCTGGCCAATAGAAAGGGGGCGCGGTCTTTTTAGATTGAGGTGCAACATGGCGGAAAAGGCGCGAAGTTTAAAATTTAAAATTTTTTCAAAAATAATTTGGCAATAACTCAAAAAATAAACCGTTTTGGGGATACTAACATCCCCAACAGTGTCCTCCCTTGTAAGGCAACCGTAAGAAGACTCATTTGGGTTCTCCATTGACGGATATTACACAAAAAATGAGATACTCTATGGATAACATTTATCTTGCTATGCACCTATGAACAGCTGAGGCCGTTCTAACTCACATTCCTACACAGTCGAGCACGAATACTTGGTCATTCCGCCGTCCTTGTTACCAACTAGTGCATTTGCAGTGATACCCGCGTCGGCAGAGCAGATCGAACTGTCCATCTCAAAGAACATCTGAGCACATTCCATAGTTCTAAACGAAAGCGGTGAAATAGTCACAAAGCTGCTTTATTTCCGCTGAGGCCTGATCTAATCGACTGGACGATTTTTCCTGACCTCAGTTTGATTCTCCAACCCCACACCTCTATTACACAGTGTTGTTTGTCGACTGTTTTACGCTCATATTAGGGATATGCTAACACCACCTATAGATTGGCCAGAAATATCTAGTCTCCTCGGGCCGCGCTGCTTGCAAGCAGTGATGAAAAGGGTATCAGGTGTCAAGGTGACCTGGCCACATTCTCGTTTTGGCTGCTACTTTGGTTTATTGCTATTTTTACGTTTTACGCTCATATTAGGGATATGCTAACACCACCTATAGATTGGCCAGAAATATCTAGTCTCCTCGGGCCGCGCTGCTTGCAAGCAGTGATGAAAAGGGTATCAGGTGTCAAGGTGACCTGGCCACATTCTCGTTTTGGCTGCTACTTTGGTTTATTGCTATTTTTCTATCTAGCAAGCCTTTGGAAGATGGTGGTGTCGCTATGGACACCGCCCTTAGCGGATATCTGTTGACCACGTGTTATCTAACTGCCTGGACTTCCGCATGCAGCCAGCTGAGTTGACCCTATCCTCCCCGTTGTCACAATGTAATTATTACGAATTCCTCAGCATTTGTTACACGCATTTAGTGGGCCTAGTTTCCTGAATACCCCACAATTGTGATGTAATTCCCTCCATTCCTATCTAGATGTCATTTGCTGGGTTCACCCTTGAAGCCTTTCCGTCACCATCGAGTGGAGGTTCTTTCCTACTGAGTTTGCTCGGCAATCTTTGGGTAAAGAATTTACGAGTGCCACTGGATCCTGGAGCCTTGGCGAAAAAAGTCCCCAATGCCACCGCCACGATGCTTCATCGACTCATCGAGTTAAGCAAACTATCTGAAGCACAAGCACTGAGACTTGGAGATATCAACGATGACCTCATTAGTGCGTTTGTTTTCCGTTCAGTCCATTTTATTTTGTCGAAGTCTTTAGTCATTCATTATAAACTCACAGGGTGTTTGATTTAGAACCTTCTGGGTTCTTGATTGTATTGATTACGTAACTATCATTGGTGTATGGGGTCCACTGTAGCATTATTTGAATGTGTACCGCCTCTGACAGCCAAGCTAGGCGTCTTCGCGTCAAACAGCTATTCATAGTCCAGGAGCACTACGATTCCCTCCGAATCACTTATCCGGCGACTTAATCTCTGCCACTTCTTGAATGCAATAGCATCGTGAAAACTGAACAGCCCGAGTGAAGAAAATCCCTTTTCTCTTTTCCTAACCTTTAAGATGCAGTTCTTCCTCTCTGAAGGTACTACCTTGACGGACCGACCAAAACTGGCTCTTCTTGGAATGTTCTGAAACTTGTTGATGGCCTCAGAAGGTCAATCAAAAGCATTTTTATGAGTATATATGATTTCACCACGCCACCCATTAAGCACTACTAGGCGCAAGAGTGGACGGGCACAGGTGTTATTTTCCAAATTGATAGCGATTTTCATGCTCGTTTGGACTGGCAACTGCGTAAACTAAGTTGCATGGATAAGTCATACAAACGGTTGCCAATTTTTGTTCAACCACTTGACAAGTCAAGCGATACCTCGTTGATTTTCCCTCTTGCGAGTGACGAATCGTTCGAATGCCTGATATCCTTTGTACAGAGATCCAATGGTTTTTGCACAATTATCAGTCGGTCGTAGTGACGGGTGACAGCTTGCGATATTTTACTCAACGTTTTTTTCGAAAATAGCCACCTGTATGTCTCCCTACATCTGTGACACTCGAAGTAATTCTTTGACCACGAAGGGGGGCTCAGTGGTTAGAGCGCTAGCTTACTGACTGGAAGGTCCGTGGTTCAAACCCGAACTCTTCAAAGCGACTTCTCCTGTCTAGGCTTGGACAACCTAGCAGTATTCCAGCCCTCGTGCTTCCTTCTGGTGGTATGGCAGTTGGGCACCGAAAGGGTGTTACAGCCGAATGTTTTTTTTACCAGGAACTCGTTTCAACGTCCAGACATTCACAAAAATTCATCATCACGGTTCTCATTGACAGCATGCACCTCACATACCTACTTTTAAAGGCTTGAGATGCATGTATTCCTTCCTTTTTACATGCTCCACTGGCCCATGTACTCACTTGAACATGCTTCGGTTTCTGTCATAAATCGTCCTGTCAGTGACAATTCGGAGATTCTGTCGCTATACGTTGTGCTGCTGATGTTAGGTTTTGTGTACTCAAGTTAGCGTGCTGATTTAAGGTGAACTCTAGAACAGATACGGGACGTCATTCGCCTCTCGATCTGCTGTGGCCACAATATTCCGAAGCATGTGATCGTCTGTCAGAAGGCGTCCGGACACGAAAAGTACATGTGCAGGCAACTACGCGTCCCCAAGGTCACCGTCGGTACCACATATGGCAGGTGCGTTGGCGGACCCTACCAAATACGGCTTAGAAGCATACGACCAGCAGTGTGGGTGTGAAATCGTTCACGGCAGGAATATAGACATGAGCTGGAGAGAACGAGCAACCGAATGACTATAATTGGCCATTTTGTCATCCTATATGTTTACACAGAAGCTCTGTATGTTTGTCCTGACAAAACGGGGGTGTCCGCCGCTCTCTATCTTTTCCTTATCGCGTGATCTGGCAGGCTCAGTTCAGGCGTAACCAATAGACGGCCACCCACTATACTACAACCTGGCAAAAGCACTTGACAAAGTAGCTTCCCAGTAAGGGGTCCCAATGCACGTGTCAGCAGACTTATTTCGGATATGTACAGCCTTGCGACTTCCACAATCTCGCCACGATAATGATGAGGGTTGATATACGCCACCCGTAATTTGCATCAGACTGGTCTGAGCGGGAGACGACCTGTCACATTCTGGTTTTCATTTTCTCCAGGCTTATAGTGTATACGAAGCTGTCGGGTGGAAATGAGCAGCAGAAGATTATCGGTCTTACTAGATTATTTACGTGAACCCTCACGGACCAATGTTTCTGTTATCACTCGCATTTTGAAAACCTACTTTCTCATTGTGGCATTCACCTCTTGGCAACCTTCGCTGGTGATCACGGGCTATCTGTGAAACAATTCACATACCGCACTACTGCCAATGGCTTTAGAATATTTATTCGAAGACATAAAGTGTGGACATCAACCGTATATCTCGGCTTACGGTCTCTTAAATGAATGCACTTACCGGCCAGTACACTTGCAACTCGTGGATTTGTGAGGACTGTTGAACTGGTGGGACGAAGTTGGATTGAAGGCTTCAAGCAATATGCCCCTTTAGTCAGTCAAGTTGGTCATCCCCAGGTGCTTATGGGATTCAGTTTTTTTCGAATATTCATCGCTACGGTAAGATTTTAAAGGCCAAGTTTACTCATGGCTATCCACAACCATACATGTTCAATATCTTGATGCCGCTGCCTGACCTGTTGCTGTCTAAAAGGACATCAAGTGAACGGGAGGTGCGTAAGAAAATTCCATCCACGAAAGTGAAATATACGTAACTCATCAGATGGTCGGTTACTCACCTGTGTTTGCCGCACTCTGAAAGTCTCCTGCTGGAAACGTGTACAGATAACGGTTCCGATAAATTCATCTAACTGTGCGATCTGCACACCTGCAAGCTTTTATGTGAGCTGTCATCGCTTATGCTGTCCTGGGCAGCAAGGGACGAAGCAACTGCGTCATCAGAATCCTCACAAATATTCCGATAGAAATGAAAGCCAGTTATTGATCCACGTTATCAGTAATTGATAGCGATGTGATTGATGTAAATCTGTTGTGGCACGCTGACAAAGGACACTGTGTGGCCAAACGACTTGGGTTGTCGCGGAAGTTCTAAAACAGTCTGAGGTTAGGACACAGCTGAGGCATTCGTTCACCATTGTCCGTGCGTACCGAATCCAATCCAAGTCGAACGCCCGATTGAGTCACAAATGCGCTAAGTTTGTCCACTTGTGCACTCAAATATCCGACATCCACAACGATATGGGGGTTTTAATGAGCTGTGATGTGACACTTAACGCGCCATGAAGGTTTCTTGAGTCAGGGCTACAGTTTATTGGGACCTATCCAGATACGATGAACACATCGATTAACGTCTTTATGACGCGATTCCTTCACGGACTGGTATGGATTGAAGCACGGACCTTTCTATCGGTCCCTGCGCAGCTGGTCGCAGCGGGGTCTGGGTCACCAAACGTGCGCGCCCGGAAGCAAGTCGGGATTAATGTAGCAGTTAGTTCAACGACTATGCTTAAATCTTTAATTCTTTTTTCCGGGATCCAGCAGAGTGCGATACGCAGATTTCGAGGCCATTACCGATACAGGGTGATTGGGGTCGTCAATCCCAACAGACAGATCTACAAGGAGATTTGGTAGTCTGTCGCACACTGATGATGTCCTTTGGACTGGAAGCGTATAGCCAAACCGCCGAGTGGATCGACTGCCACTGCAAGGCGTGTATTGTTGATAAAATAAAGGTAGGGTAAGAAGTACAGGAAAGAGAAATATGGGGCATGTGTCAGCAGTAGCATGTTTTCACCTACTCGTCTTACTGTGTGTAGTAAGACTAATGGCACCATGCGACGGCCGATGTGACATGAGATCACTTCTGGTTATAGGAATCATGTTTGTACTCGGACCGAAATTCAGCCAGCATATTCAAACGAGGAGAATGATTAAGACCCATACTTGAAGCCTACGGTTCAAAAACCTGTCCGCCAGGCAGCGATATCTGGAGGTACACGTGTCCGGAGGCCAGCCGTCCCTAATAACCGAACTTGGACGAATGTGTCGCGTGCAGGACACGGACCAAACGAAGACATGCCCTGACTGGTCAGAACGCCAGCCAATCCGGATCGAGCATCTTTGACTCGACGCTTCTCGCCCCCTCACGGAGATTCTAGCACGACCTTGTGGAGCACTCTGGGATTCCCCTATGAATATACTTGTAATGATTTTCCTTTGTCTCCATACAGGGCTGCGTAGAGCTACCGTGCCTTTTGATATAGTGGGCGGAGCAGGAAGTCAAGGGACCGATAGAGAAATTTGCACTACCGTTCAGCAAGTCACAACAACGCGTCAGGGCATTAGGGTTTTTAAGGAACTGGTCACCACTCAGGTTCAGTCCCAAAACTGGAGATCGTGTTGGTCAACCCTCTAACTATTGACCAACGTTTTACGGGTGACTGCCGGTTGTGCGTGAAAGTCAAACAGAAAACTGATATGTACCTACCTGTTTCGTGTATCGCTTTAGTTCTCTCATCAACATATTCCGTGTTTTTGTACATGCGACCAAAAAAATGTTAACTTTCCTCACCATCCCGAAAGTGCACAATGGATCTGAATAATAGTAAATATTGTACGTCATCGCTGTTGCAGCTGTCATTTTCAGTTTCTGAGTTTTTTTTTCAACTTCGACGCTTAGACTAACCCTTATGGCCGTAACTTATCCCCGTCTGAGTAGATGCCCGATTTGGCATAGCCAGACTTCATATAAATGTACCATACATTGCAGCATCAAATTCAGCTTTCCATTATGCTTGTTTTGTTCTGTTTTTCACGCTAGTTTAGTCTTTGTGGTACACAGTTGTAACACGAAACCACTCTGCGTTTTTCGTCAAGGTGTTCATTTTTATTTTTCGAAATATAGGTGCACAAGCCAAAGCAGCTCAGAATCAAATGCTTGCTCTTGAAAGCCGAATTCCGATGGTGGATTCAGTCACTGACACACGCACCTTCCCTCCAAACGCCGAACTGCTGGAGAGTCCCAATGTGAGCTCAGCGTTTTTTAGTTTGTATCATCGTTAAGCATTTTACCCCAAGATGCTATTTGGAGGTGAACTTTGAAGGTGAACTTTCTTCAAAACTGATTCAACACCAGTAGACCAGGTTGTGGAGAAATAGCACCAAACTGTAAGAGCCTCCGGAGGGATTTACACTCATTTGCAAACTAATTTGTTTTTTCGAGAGACTCACCTGGAACCAAATTAGTTTGCAAATGAGTGTAAATTCGCTAATTTCGTGCAATTTGGTTTCAAGAAGGACATAAGGTTGACGGAAACCCGGGGATTGCGCCTACCCAAAAAGGGCAAAACCGGTCGTGGGCTGTCGACGGATTTTCAGCAACCTTATGAGTAGTACATTACAAAGCCTCCAGAGGACTTTTTTGAACTGACTGTTAGTAGTCTTCGACTGATTTTATCTCCTAATGTCACTATAGTGCAAACTTCACTGAATACCTCTCATTTCGGACACAAGTTTAGATTTTAGAGACATCCGAGAGCAATCCTTTCGCTTTTCGCACAAGTACCTTGTCAGCCGTGTGGCTGATCGGTTTGACGCTGCGAGGCATATTGCTTGGGTGGCTCGGTGAGGAAGGCCCAAAAGCTGACCACAATGTGAATGGAGCATGATTTCAAATGAATAAAAGTTAACGTCATATGCAGTCACAAATTGGCGAAACCGAGGTTCTATAGTAGCCTAAGATACGTAATTTAGACGGTTCTGATGATCTGGCTTGTTCTTCGTGCGAACTGAAAACAGGTGTTGTTCATAATACTCAAGTCACAATATAGAAGTGATCTTTCATTGTCAGGAATTTTGCTTTTTCTATCGGTAAAGGTATGTTTAGAACGATTCAGAAAATTGCGGTCGGCTACCACTTAACGACCACCACCTTGCTGGCCGAGGAGAAAAAATCACCTTTCAGCGTTGCAACACTTACATTCGTACTGTCTAATAAACGAATCCAAAGTTTTCGAGAAATACACTCATTTGCAAATCAATTTGGTTTTCACGAGAGACTCAACTGAATCTCTCGTTTATGATATTCTACAACTGGAGGTGCTGCACGCAGGCTGCCTCATGTTTCAGTTGGTACGATATTTGGGATACCGCAGTATATTTTCATAAAGTTTCTCAGATTCTTGAGCATCAGTCCGTTCTGAACAGACGTAAGTCATTTCAAAAGTGTCAAGACCCGTATTCAGTTTATGAAGTCTATTTTCAAAGGAGATGGAAGAGAATAAACATGGACTTGTAAGGCTTTTCATAATACGACAAAAGTTTGCAAAAACGTCTCCTGGTTTATGATGTTTCTAAGCAACCAAACGTACTGCACCAGGTCGCCTCATGGTACGATGTTCGTAATACACCACTCATAAGGTCGAAGAATTTCCAGCAACCTAATGAGTAGTGTGTTACGTCTAAACATGATTGTTGTAACCTGAATTGGATTAGCGTAGACCAGGGAAAAGCGGGTGACCATAATCAAGTTTGACTCAGTAAAACATGATCTCCATATCTTATTTGGGATGGGACGTAAATGGACAGAAATATTTTATGGGTCACATTGGTTAAGCCGTTTTTTTCTTGTAATTTGCCTTTTGCAGTTTAAAATTGGTGACACTGGGATTCTGACAACAGATTCAAATGCGTTAACTGTGTCATTGAGCTTGTTTCTTGGTTCCCCGTTCGGTACTGGACAGTACGTTCCGAAAACTGGTGTACATCTCAATGCAGCCATGAAACTCTTCTTCAGTTCGTCTGGTCCAGTGCAGCCTGTGTTAAATACGATTGGTCCTAAGCGACGCCCACTAGTTCCAGGTTCCCCCGTCTATCTTTCGACGACTCACCGCAAATGCGGTGTCCGTGTAGGTATAACTACTAGCGGCGGACTATGGGGGACGATTGATGCGGCCCAAGTAAGTTCATCACTGCTTGACGTTTTCAAACAGTTTACTAAGCACCCGACACCTATGGAAAGTTCACTTAATGTTACACTTCTTGAGCGATATTGAGGCAACTTCACATGCAGGGTAAAATGTCCTTTCAAACTTCAAAATCAGCTCATCGCTACATTGCCTTCGAAGAGGTCAGATGACCACGTTGACGAAGATCACAAAACAGCCATTGAGCACCTTCATCAAATCGCTTTGAGGGGTATCGTACGCTTCTTATATGGTACCTTGACCAGCTACACACACGTTCACCTAATTAGAGCAGCCGTTTGTCTTAACCTTCTCGATCACTCTGACTACTCCGCTGTTGCGTAAGATATTCGGTTTTGAACTCAAGCTTGGTTGAACCAATTTGTCGCGTGTGATGTGCTTGAGAGGTACGAACTGCTGTGGACGGTTAATCAGATGGTCGTCGGACCAATAAGGTTTAGCGGTCTTTCCTTGACGGAACACACCACAGCGATGGTTCACTATTTATAGCGGGACATATGGCCCACAAGTTGAATTGTGTTCAGCTGCATGCTTTCGATCACCCTCTAGGTTAACATAAGTTTGTGAACGATGGTCACCTGACCTTTGTACTCAGTACGAGGTTACTCGCTTGTTGAAACTGAGGTGTGTGACGTCGCGCTATCTGAGATTGACAGAGGTCAATATGGGCCAACAAAGACTCAGGATTGGGTAGCTGGAAAACTGTTGACAAAGATAAACAAAAGTTATCAGTAAAAAATCGTTCAGCTACCATGCTACCAGAAGGAAGCGCGAGAGGTTGGATACTGCCGGGTTACCCAAGCCTAGATAAGGGAAGTCGAGATGCAGAGCTGGGGTTCGAACCACGGACCTCAAGGTCAGTAAATTCGCGCTCTTACCACTGAACCATCTCTCCCGGCTAATCAAGCGCGGCATACCTCTAGGGCGAAGTGTAGAATTAGATGCAAATACTTCCATAACATACTGCCTCAGGCCAACCAGTGTCTCAAATTTACAGAGATACCGCGATTTGGATAGCGCAACCACTGATGCAGAATGAAAAATACACAGAACACCAATAGTTGACAGGTTGTTCAAGTGAATCACCACCATGTTCGAATCAAAGGTAAAGATCGTTACCCGAATAGGAGCGTAAGTAATCCGTGTGATCTTACCGTCACGAAAACGTCCAAAACAGTTACCGATAAGTAGCACACAGGCGGAGTAATTGTATGGGAGAATTATCATGCTATCAAATTAGATACAATACTCGACATACTCTTACTTGCACACGAATTTGGCTTTGACAGGAGACTCAACGGAATCCGGCTGAATCTTCCATCCCTTTGCTGCAATATTCGAGATATCGCAGTACATTGTCTGGACGTGACTTTCTACTCATAGGGTTGCTGAAAACTGCGCTTACCTGCTGAGCCCCAGGAAGGGCAAGCTTGTGTGTTACGTCAAAATCCAATATTCCTCAAGATAATTCATCCATATCTTACGAAGCAACAGGGTGAGTGCAACGGGAAACAGTAATCCTGAGCATCCGATAGCATACTGAGTGCAATGCCATAGGTAAGGAAATAAGATGAGCTAGTCGGGGTATAACATATGAAAGATTGTACTTTGTAAGAGTAATAACACTCACCTGACAAACGCCTATACGTTTAGCGAGAAAACGCTGACTTGTAGATAAGGGCACTCAAAGTTGGTGTGATGTACTCCTCATGTGTCCCTCCCCTCAGTTACCGTCTCCGACGCGATCCTCGGGTCCCCTCATCCAACTCAGCAATACTCTTCAGTAAGTTGGCCAATATAACCATGGCCCTCACACCGTAGTGGTTAGAAAAGAAGAGAAAATGCTGTCTCCATTTGAACCAAGGAAAACAGTGACGGGTCAAACTGTGACGTGGTATCAAATAGAGTGGATTGTCAACCCAATCTCAGGAAAAAGGATCTTCATTTAGGATAGATAGGGTTCGGTTGCTGTTTGGGCTCCACGTATGGACATGTTTCAGATGAAAGAGCTGATTAAAGGTATAGGGCGATGGTCGAGCGAAGTTACATCTTTAGTTACTTATGGAGATTGTGTTATTCGGGAGGACCATCCGTCTCCTGAAATGTTACACTACCTCCAATTGTACTACAGGCTTCTACCATGGTTAACAGTTTGAACATACCAGCGAACTCAGTGTTTTCACTTTCAGTATCAAGTTGTTACTTTGGGTTCAAATGAGTGTGTCACTTTTTGTGGAGATTTCGTCCTGTAAGTGAAGCCAATCTATGCTGAAAGGCCGAGAAGCACTGTACGGCTGTTTCATCCTTATTGGGAATCATCAGCAGTGCGCATCTCACGAAACTCCGGAGAGTCTCGAACCCGCGACCTCCTGGCCAGTAGTTTGAACACAACCGTTCGGCCACGGGTGGCTGAGTGTATCATGTATGTGATAGAGTCGCTTCACAGCGTTTGTTTTCTCGTGCTGTCCTGTCTCTGTCAGAATGTGCCTGTTGAGCTTGAACCACAGTTTCTACTTGTCGAATCAGATGTTTTTTGTCTCAATTATTTTCCTCTATTCTTCGCCGACAGGTGATCGCCGATGCAGCCTTGTTTCTACGTAGTCCACCGTGCACTCCACCAAAGGGTATCACTACACCAGTGGATGATGTTGCTGCAAGTACATTGTTGGGCAACAAACAAACTTCAGCAGACCAACCAACTCACGTGGGTTACTCACCAGCGAGTGACGCTGGTTGCTTAGGTTTTCAGGCATCCAGTGGCCTTCCCCGTCTTCGTTCCGGTCCTGTAATTCAGAATGACTCTGGTTTGAGTGATCCAGTCTCCGCGGAACCAAAGTTCGACACTAACTTGGCCACCGGTTTGGAGGGAGTTGGGCATAAAATGAGCACTGTGTCGGAACCGTGGCCAGGACGAGTTTCAGTGGTTGGCTGGAACGGTTATAATATAGTCTTGTCAGTTGATCATCGCGGTTCATGGAAGTCCGCACAATTTTAACTTCGCTTGTCTCTACCCTTCCCATTGGCTGTGAACTGTGCACATATCATTCTCATACGGACACCGCACTCCCTCCTAAACTTAGATAACTCTGTCGTGACAGTTTGCTTTTATTGTCCGAGGCAGTGGTTCTTCTATCGGGTTCGGTTATTTTTACCCTATCTTTCAACTTGATTTCATTGTATTTTGTGTGTGCGTCTCGATTTGAACCATGACAGACTTGCCTTCTAAGTTCATTTGGCGCTGCTTATGAGTGTTGAAAAACAGCCGTTGTTTGCATTTCGAAGCAATACTGAATTGTGCCATGGGGACGAGCAAGCTTTCATTACGGGACTTTATGGCAAGCATAGAAATTCGTTGTTTTAGAAAGAATGTAGATGGCACTGCCTGGCGGTAAGAGACTTGCGAGCTGCACAGGGATACGTGGTCGTAAGCAGGTTTGATTGCGTACCAGAGAACGCACGAGAAAGGTCAACGCGTTTCTGTAATCGATGACTTCCAGTTCAGCCTGGCAACCCGGTGATGCCAACCGGCCGTGCTACAAGGTCTGTATCATCTGATTTGTTCTTAGAACAATCGGTCAGTTCTGCAAATGAACGTATCACCTTAACCGCAAGTAAACTTTTAAATGACATGCGAGTTATAAAGATCACTCAACTTCTCAGTTGAGACAATACTTCGGGTTGTCTAGGCCAGCTGCCCTTGAGGGGCCCTATAAGGTCGCCATCAACTTGTGCATGCACCACAGTCTTCCTTGCTGTGATCGTCACGATGATTAGAGGTTTTAGTTTGCCCTGCGAGTAGGCGTTAACTGTAGGTAACAATAGAAATGACGTGGTACTTTGGAGAGAGCTCGAGGTAGCCCAGGATAGTCACCTACCAGAAGGTCTGTAGAAAAACGTTCAACTGTAACACCCTTCCGGTGCCCAGCCGCCATGCCACCCGAAGGTTGCACGGGGGCTGGGATGCTGCCAGGTTGTCCAGGCCTAGACAGGGGAAGTCGAGAGGCAGACGTCGGGTTCGAACAACGGACCTTCCGGTTAGTAAATTCGCGCTCTAACCACTTGGGCCACCTCGCCCCGCCCCGGAAGGTCTGTGGTTCAAACCCAGCCTCGGGATCTTCTTCGCTTGGAAAACCTGATAGTATCTCACCCTTTGTGCTTCCTTCAAATGGCATGGCAGCTATGCACCGAAAAGATGTTATTGCTGAACGAATATTTATATTACTTTTGCATGGCAGAAAGGTTACTGAAATGAAGACACTGATCACCCTGCATAGCCTTACAATTTGCGGTACCTGCGAACTCCCATCGGAACTAAGCTAAACCATCTTTAGACCTATTCTTATAGGCAAATTATGGTGAATATTGTTTTGAATATCAAAAAACAAACCGAAATTATGTTCGGGAGTGGTAAGCAAAATGTCATCAGCACATCTCTTGTAGAGAAATTTGCTGGAAGTAGTGTCCTGGAATTCTACCTTTGTCAGGCAAATTTCAGCTAAGGCTGAACCACTCGTAACGGCGTGATCCACGTGCTCCTATGCAGAACACTGGCAACTGTCGAACTAGTTTTGCATTTAGGGTTGCCCTCAATGGCACGCCGGGTTTTGAAGAACCCCTCGTTGGATGTGTTTGCGTGCTAGTGGATTTGATTTGTCTGTGATGGTGTTCTGTTAAAACACTATTTTTCTCAATGTCTCAGGTTCCTCATAACGTATTTTCCATCAAAGGAATTTTTTCGGAGGTTATTCATGGTATAAATTTCCGCTTCTAATGGAGGATATCGGCCACTGTCCTGTCCAGCATGGCTACCGCGACCCTGTTGAGTTGCAGATTGGTGTACGATTGGACCGTTCAGGTCCATATAGAAACGGCTGAAGATTTAGAAGATGTTCTCAACTGAGAACATCCTAATCAGACACACTTCAACTTTTTATGATGTTCTTATTCACTCTCCGGGTCTGACCCGCGCTTAGGCCTTGCTGATGTAGGTACCAGGTATCCAGTCGCACAGCTGAGACTAAAAGCTTGTTCAGATGCAGACGGTCACTATTAAATATTTTTAGATTTTGGGCCGAAATGGACCGTGGTTAGAGCGCGAATTTACTGACCGGAAGTTCCGTCGTTCGAACCCGACCTTTGCCTCTCGACTTTCCCTGTCAAAGCTTGGGCAATCTGGTGCAACGTTGATACTACTGATGGGGAGGCACGCGAGTAGTATGTGTTGTTCGTGGAATTTCGGTTTGCGTCTCTTGAAAACGGGAGATCTGTTGCAGAATTTGTGGTGTCGCTTTGTAACATTTTCTTGGATTTGGGCGAGAGTGATTGGAATCAGAGAATATCCAGGAAAGTTCAAGAAGACGCGTTTAGAAGAAGATGGATGTCTAGTATTCGTAACCAAGATGCAAATTAGAGTTTTGCTTCCCTGTCCAATGGTCTGTAACCGGTCAGTTGGCATTTTCCAATGAATAACTCCTCAGTGAATGCCTTCTTCCTTTTACTGGTAGTATCCCAGCCATCGTTCTTGCTTCGGGTGGCGTGGCACCTAGGCACCGAAGGGGTCTTTACAGCTGAACGATTTTTTTTACATTTTGGATTCTTCGAACTAACCTCGACTGTTGGGCTGAGAAATCCATCCCAAGATCCCTGTTTTCGAGTACACACTCATTTGAAATCGGGCCCCTATGTTGACTGCTGCTAGAGCGAAACTCTTAGATTGGTATTCGTACATCGTGAGAAGTGTAGTGAGTTTTCACGCAGATTTGACTTCATGGGTTGCATCCGCAAATGATTTTGCTCGTCTGTGCTTCCTCCAAACGGTGTTTTAAGGTTATGGATGAGGTCGGAACTCGTGAAAGAGGCGTTGCCAATGATTCCAAATCCCTTGATTTCTAATAAACTACCACAGGTATCTTGATTCCATGAAAGCTATGTTATCACATTTTTGTTGCCAGCCAAACTTTGTAGCCCTCCCAACCCAATTGTGCCTTGAAATATTCGCCTTTCCTATTTCAAGAAGAGCATCTGTTGATTACTTGGCGTGCTTTAGGCCAAAGTTATACAGTGTTTGAGTCACCGCTGTAGAAAAGCCACTTGAACAAAGCAACCCCAAATTTTGTCCATTTTTTATAACATGCCACAGCGTACTTGACAGTTTAGCGGTTGAACAATATTTGTCTGATCATGAATACTGACAGAAGCATGGTTGTTCACTGCTGCACAGCTGTGTTAACCTGTTTAAATGAAAAAAACTTTCGTGTCATCGTTACGAGGTTACTTTGACTTACCGCACCGGTTGTGCACCCCCATATCTCTGAGTTACACTCCAAAGTGTGGTTCTAACCGGGACATATCATCTCATATAACTACGGTGAGAATGGTTGTGGTCCAAAGAACACCATTCTTCCGCGAAATGCAGTCGTTTGCCCGCCAATTTTTGTTTTACCGGAATGTCCAGCTCGATTTCCCGTTTGTGGTACTCTTCAACTGTGAATGTGCTGCACAATGACCGCCTCATGTTCCAGTTGATACGGTATTCGAGATGTCGCAGTCCCTAAGGGAACACTGCTCATATTCAGTTGAAGAATGTCACCAACCAGATTGGTGCGTATCGGAGCGTATTTCGAGAACTTGGGTTCAAGTAGGACATATGATTCATGGAACATGCGTTCTTGGTGGGCCCCAAGAAAGACGAAACATGTCGTGGGTTGTCGAAGAGTCCTCAGCAACCTTATGAGTAGAGTTTCTCAAAGAACAGCCTTTTGTTCTTTCAAGTTGAGGGATCGAACAGCAGTGATCTCTCCTTCAAAATCTTGGCTGCTATATTAGCTCAACAATGCCCACCATTGTTTTTCGACCAGGCTTCTAAGCCAACGGCTTTGTTTGGGGTCCCGGGTCATCAACCTCGATGCCAACGTACTTTTCTTGACGATGAATTTGAACCTTGAATGTTTCCAGTACGTCTGCATTTACTGCACTGAAATCGGTGGATGGAGCACCTAAAGGAGCCTAACAGTCCTTGAAACTCTTATTGTGATAAACCTTTAGATGTTACGTAGCATAAATTATGAAGCGGTTATCTAGATCAGCGGTTAGGTCGAAGCAGATGAGCGATCGGGGTGCTTTGGCAGGTTTATAATCAAGAGTGGGGACAGTGAACAGGATGGCTCTGGAACGGACATTGAATGAATACCAAGTCGACGTCCACAGAAACCACTGTTGTCAACTGCTTCGTCTTACCGGTTCAGAGGTTGACTTCTCATCTCTACTACGCTAAACCAATCAATTTAAATGCACGTTCCAAGGATAGGTCATCTATCTTTGATTCGTCTTGATAAAGAATATTTCGGATGAACAACAAGGAACAGTTAAGCATTAAAAGTAAACCAGCATCGTATACAGATGCAGATAAGATGCTGTTGTATTCACACACGTGGCTGTCCGTATCACGCAGGCATGTCACTCAAAAGCTATGGATAAACTTCAACTCGCTAACAGACACCAGCTGATTGCACGCTGCACTGTTGGTCAATACACTGATCACGTGGCCACATCACATTTCAGTTTAATTATGATTAGCTTGTCCTTAGTTGTCAAGTGCTTGGTAACATTGATTGGTAGTTTGTTCATCGTCTTTATCACAGAGTGCAGTTTTTCAATATATATATATATAT